ACAAAAACCCCCCCCCCCCCCCCCGACAACGACCCCCTTCCCGGAGAATAAATGCCATATGGTTTATCTATTTGAGGCATTTATTGGTAATTTTTTTGAAAATTTTACTGAATACACAGCACATGTAGGCCTAGGTACTAGGTATCAGTAAACAATATTTCATTTATTCTGAGCAGAAATGAAATATTTATCCTTTTCACAATACCAGTCAAGCAGTCAAAACAGAATCGGGGAGACACCGGTACTGGCAAGACGTTTAGATTTTCTGTATTGCTTGTAATTTGAACATAATTACCTCCACCCTTGGCGGAGGTCTGTGCTCTCGGAGTGCTTTTCTAGTTTTCAATAGTGGCAGCTCACGAACCGTGAACCACGAACACGCTTGCAAGAAGTGGCTCCGTTGTCCCATTTCATGTAGTAAAAACAATAAATCATAAAATGAACAAAAATTGGGTTAAGAAATAGGCCTACTCATCCTTGTCAATTGATAAATATTAGGCCTACTAGTTAATTTGTTTGCCATAAGTGCTGGACTGACCTGAAATAAATCCAAGTAAATAAAATTCTCTCTCAAGCCTGCTGTGAGCGGACAGCCGCACAGGACATGTTTTACAGTTTGTATTCTTCCTGTACAGATCACAAAATGAATCCCGAAGCTTGTAAATTGCATGTGCACTTACATTTACATTTATTTAAGGGGCCCATGACCTGCTATCTCTTTGCACCATAGGGGGTAGGCCTACTTGGATAAATTACTTCTTCATGTAAATAATCATTCAAATCGGATGCCATGGCTATTTGCTTTTTATTGATTAAGAAAAAGGTATTTAAAAAAAGATTTAAGATCGTATTAACCCACAATGACAGGGCTATTTGCTTTTTGCGTAACTAATTACTGCAGATGCCAGGCCTGACAAATTTAAAAGGATCTTGCCCTCAAAGCCCAGGCAGTGTGTTAAAAGCCGGGTTACTTTCTTTGTAATTTAATTTTTTTAATTTAAAAGTCTTTTAAAATCCACTTTATCAAAACTCTGGGATTCGAGGTCAAGTACCTGAGAACAAATATGTCATGATGCCGTCTCTGACTGCAAGCACAAGATAGATAAATAAAGATCACTACCTAGGATTCTTGCCTGAATAAGATCCATCTACTGTAGTTAACTTTGTGACGAGGAATCCAGATGAAAAATGATTCTTGATATGTAATGAATTCGATCCCAACTGAATCTCTTGGTACAGTACGTAGCGGTCATCCTTTTTTGTATTGCTAACTGAGAAAAACACATGGGGCCTACTTGCCCATTGATAAGCCGTCGCTGCCATACCTGATATTATTCTGTGGGTGGTCCACAAGAGGTGTTAAGTTAATGAAGCTGGGGTGCTTGCTTTGATCACCTTGATCATTACACCCCCGCTCTTAAGATGTCTACATGCACCAACAGGATTGCAGTCCCATTGTTTCCACTTTTTATTCACCAAACCGTGATTAACACGTTTTTCCTAATGTATTAATTTATCTCCGTATATGATAATGTAAATGAAAATGTATATTATTTTAACGAGTCTCCCTCAATCTTTATAGTAAGACTGTCTTACTTACCCACTTTACTATTGCAACTGTCAGATTTACACGTATATGTACTTTGCTCTTTGCAACAAATGGGTGATACAAAATCACTAAATAGGCCTACCTACATGGTGGTGATAAATATTTTAATTTTATCATCTATTACGCGATAAAGGATGCCTGGGCTCTTCACTGTTATATTTGAATCACATCACATATCTTTTCAGGCCAAAATAGATCTACTTGCTTTTTGATATAAACCCAAAGCAAACAATACGTACCTCTATGTAGTGTGTTTGTATTTACTTTAGGATTATTCCATGAAAAAAAATGTTTATTATTCTCAAGCTCACACGGCAGATTCTTTCCTGAAAGTCTACTTTATTAAAGATAAAATTCTCAAGTTACTGAACTGGTAGTTTACTTAAATCCAAAGGCGAAGTTTTACTAGATACAATTTTAAAAAATTGAAAATATTCTCCATTAAAGCCCCTCCAAGAAAAAGATTTTCTGTCAAAAGCCGAACTAAAAAAGCTGGACATCGGACATGTATTTTTTAGAATTAGGGCTTTTGTGCTTTTTCAAAAGAGCATTTTCAGTAGTGCACAATTTCACATTTTAATTGAAAAATATATATTCTTATGTGAGCCATTTGGTTCTTCTTCCAACTTTTTACATTAAAACCTGAAATTAAGAAATGCAAGATTTTGGTGTATATCTGTTTGACACAAAAGCAAATATTTCACTGCAAGACATATGGGCCGTGCACATAAGGGTTTATCAATTGGGTTTAAGGTTGAGAAAAACCTGCTATCCTTTGTAACAATTAAAAAAAAAAAAAAAAAAAAAAGCATATATCAAGCAAATTTTGCAATTTATATTGAACACATGTCAATTGATCAACAATTCAACAATGTTTCTAAGTTGGTTAAAGTGATTGCTCACTTGAAGATGATAAGCATAGTTAAACTGAACCTATATATATAACGCTTTGGAATTACACATTTTACTTGTACACCTAAAGTTGAATAAACTATGAAACAGTCAACAATCTCTCATACAGCATAAGTGCACTTCCTTTTCATTATTTCTGCTGTCAATGAATGGAATAACAAACAGCCCACCCATCTTCCAGCTTTTAAATGCTTTTTCAAAGAGATACAGAACTGAACAGTAAAACTACATGGGACTCTTGATCAAAAATTGTTGGTCATCATACAGATTATAGCTGTAATTGTATGCCTTATACAAAAATAACAATACTGACCAACTTCCATGAAAGCAGGCAACTGTGACAGCAATTTAAGTGATATCAACTACTCCGCGACCAGATAGGGACATACCCCTTTTTGGAAAATAGTTATAAAACAGTAAACTTAGGTACAGAAAAATATTTTATAACATAATATGAAAATAAACTATATATTTCAGCCAAAGCTAAGCACTATTTAATTGTATATGGCCCCTTCTCATTTTTCTGAAACTGCATTTTACTGCCCTACTGTGTATATAATGGGCTCAACAAAAGGGAACTTCTACAAAATGATTCAAAATTAAGTAACTGATAATCTAAAATAACAGACCACCAGAACTTTAACTATTCACAAACATAGATGTGCGCTTTTTAAAACATCATGATAGAGTGTATTACATCTGGACCAAGAGTCCATAATTTCAAGACTAACAAAAGTTAACTAAGGAGTCCTGACTAAATAATTGTATTCATTTGGAACTATTTCATTCAGATATCAACACAGCTGAGTAGATATTTACTAATTCTTTTAATTTTCGGCTTTTATCTTTCTTTTGAAAAATTAGACCAGAAAATTAGGAGTAAACAAGTACATATACAAACATTACTTTTCAAAATAAAATGACAATTGTAGTGACACAGAATATTTGGTTGTACTGAAACTGTCATTTCTAAAAAAAAATCTGATAATAAAAAATGCCACCCCTTGTAAAAATAAGGCAACTTTTAAATAGCTATAATTGACCAAAATTATATGAATATTTGGAATAAACATGACAGAAATAAACAGGTAAATGCAGGGATACAGAAGAAGTGTTCAACACTGAACAATCTGAATACAGTTTTCACTTAACTTTCAAATAAATGAAAATAATCTTCTTCAACAAGTTAAAGAGAAACGTTCTAACAGCCAATTTCTATCAAGGCACTTTACACAGGGAGAGTATACATATATATTTGCAATCCTACTTTCCACCCTTTCCCTTTGATATCTATCTACTGGTATATTTATTTTACATTTGGTTCTGCCAACACTGACTAGCAAAATATAAAAAAAGCTATTTTTTGTCTAGTCAAAATCAATAATTTACACTTTGGCATTAACTTTAAGTCACATTCTGCAGCTTAAGTTAAAAACATGGCACTTTCCATTTTTCAGAATCTTTAAAACTATGAGACATAATCTAACAATAATCTAGTATGTTTCATTAAATGAATTAGGTTAATGAATGTATAAAGTAAGACAAAAATAATCAAATACAGGTAGTGAAAAACAAAATATAAACTTTAACCAAACAAAATGTTATGGTCATTTGTAAACTCTTCAAGAATGGCAAAATATGACTGCTGACTTTTAATTGCACTGCTTTGATTTGATATTTAGTTTATCAAAAAAGAATGAGATAATTGCATGTATGGCCTATAGCACCAAAAACCAGGGATAAGACTGCCATTAATGAAAAAGTTGGAAAATATGGTGTGGGGACCAGGGGGCGCCTAGGTCAATGACATTTTTGGCTCCCAATGTGGCAATGGTCATCCCTGAAAAACTTAATTTTTGCATTAAGTGTGGTCTTTTACAGCAAAATTAATGCCCAGTAATATGACAAAAAACTTGATGGCCACAAAATTAATTTTCATAAAAATTTATGCATTCAAAAAGACAAATGTTTTTGATTGTTCTAAAGATACATGTATATCAGCATAACTTTATACAAACTAAATTAACTACTTCTAAGCAAATTGTATTAATTTTCACCAACTCAATTTGTGCACCTGTAACTTAAGTATTTAGATTATTTATTTGATATTATATCTTAAGTTTTATTCAAGGTGAACAGCCATTTCTCAGAAACAAGGCACAGCTGAAGCTTTACAAAATTATGTTAAATATACACTTTGATCTAGCTGCAGGGCACACCTCTAAAAAGAGAGAAAAAAAGCTTTAAGTCAGGTTTGCCTATTAACTCAACCGCACTCTTGAATAATTCATTAATTTTTTTTTTGGTTATTCTTCGTACAAACATCGAACTTTTTTTTTCTCTTTTTACAATGGCATGTGAGCTTGAGTGTAAAAGTCTGGTTCTTCTTCTGGTTCTGTGTCGCTGTCTCCCTCCTCGACTGGAATGACACTTCCCTCGTCTCTGTCAAGCTAAAAGTAATAAAGTAAGAGTGAATTTTGGTGCAAAATGGTTTCAACTAACAAAGACAGTGAACCACAATATTTTGCCCTTAGCTCTGTAACACTATCATTTTTTCCTTCAACTGTGTTTGTATTACAAATCTACTGACATACAATTCAGAACTTTGATAATATTAAAATTCTGAACCAAAGTGTAAATGATAAATATTATTAGATGACCTACACGCATGCACACAAAGACCCACACACCTTTCAATACATGTCCTTTTGCATTTTATAAGTACTTAGCTATTATATCAACTATTCTGAAAACTTTTATAATAGTTCTGCCTACCTCATGGAGCTCTTGCTCAGAGAAAATATACTTGAGCACAAAAATGCGCAGTGGCACCATAAGTATGAGCACAAAAGGCACTCCTAAAGCTGCGGGGGTGGACTTGACAACCCACAACACTGCCAGACAAAGGATTTGGATGACAGTGAAGATATGCATTTTCCATGTTCTTACCTTAAATACAAACATATATATTAGTCTATATTACTTAATCACCCGTTTACTGGGAGTTAGATGCTATCACTTACTGGTTCGATTCAACATGTGCTAATTAAATCTTTTAAAAAATATTCCATTTATTTTATTTCATACAAATGAAATATGTTTAATGATTCAACATCAATTGCCATTTACTGAGGCAAAGATGAATTATGTATAACTTTCTATTAGTTTAGTTCTTTGATCATTGAAGCATAATAAGTAAAATAGTAGGAAGCTCTGAGCCTAAAGAAACCAGAAAAAATACTACTTATTTGTTCCAATGTAAATGAGCATATATAGTATTATATTACTACTCCACTTTCAGTTTTACTCTATTTACTTTTCTGACAAAGCTGACGTCTGGGTGGTGTTTCACAGGCATAAATAGCAGCTGTATCCTCTCCACCATCTGTATACCACTGAGTGAGGCAACACCCATATACAAGAACACACCAAACAGCACAGAGAGGGGGATCAGACGCAAGATAGGGCCCATGGCTGCTGAGACACCTGGACATTCAGAGCAGAGTCTTAGAACCGATATCATTCTAAATATATTTAAGACTCGATTTGATGAATACATAATATCACTGCTAGAGTCCACATTGCTGAAATGTTATTATTCAAGTCAAGATTGGAAGATCAGTTTTTCATAATAAATAGGCTTAACTCTCAAACTTCATGCATCTTACTGTTATTCACCAATTAAGTTAACATAACTTTAAGAAATCGAGTCTTAATGTTATTCACAATTGTCATATATTTATGTATTTCATCTTCTCTTTATAAGAGGACTGCTATTCACTCCTTACACTTACCAACCATAACATTGACAAAAAATCCCGTCATTCTTTGCTCTTTTACTTCCTCTATCTGTGGCCTCTCACCAGGGGCATGTGTGCGACTCATAACAGTTAACGATGACACATGTGCAACAGAGCGCACGGTGGCAGCACAGACAAATGGAAGGCCCAGGAAGGAGCATCCACAGTTCAACACTCCAATGATCAGCATGTCTAAATGGTAACCTGTCCCCTTCTTCAGCTTTCTTTCCTTCTTGTTCACAATCATTCTGGAAACGAAAATACTTTTTTTTTATATAATCATTTAAACCTCCCCCTCCTCAAAAAAAAAAAATAAAATAAATAAATAAATAAATAAATAAATAAATAAAAAATAAAAATAAATAAATAAAATAAAATAAAAAATAAATGAATAAAAAAAATCAATCAATCAATCAATAATAATAATATCTCAATCTTTTCAAATTAAGTAGTTTTTGATCACACCATTAGTTTTTAGCACCAGGGCATAAACTAAAAAGCCCTTACCACTGCCTGTTATAACACTAAGATTCCTAGTCCAAAGCAGGACTTACCCTGTGATCTGAGACTCCATGAAGACAAGAATGAAGACCAGCAATGCTGGGATAAGTGCAGCAAAGATCTGCCACACCTGGATGAACTTGTGATGCCCCATAGGATTGACAAACCATCCCCTCTTTGTTGAGTTGGTTGGTGAAAGGCCATCGGGAACATTTAATTTCTGGAATTTTTATTTTTTCAATTTAAAAATGATACATACTTAGATATGCGTTTAAACTATTGTCAGAATTTCGCTATCAACTGAAAAAATGTTGAATAAAAATTTCATTTCCATCTTTTGGTGTCAATCAGAATAGCATGACCAATTTTAACAATGATTTCAGCTCACTTCATGAGTTCATATGTACTATTTATTGTACAACAAAATGTAAAACATTTTGATTAATGGAAACTGCATAAATATAATAAAATATACCCCTTGTAAAATACAGTAACTAGGTTTTGAAGCAATTCGGGTTTTTTAGAATTATATAATTATTAAAAAATGCTCTAACCGTTGTGTACACATCCTCAATGAGAAAATCTATCAGCACCATAGTAAAGATAGCAATTGGCACTCCAAAATCTCCTATTGCACGGCGTACCTGTTAAATGAGTAGATTATGGCATCAAACCTACTCAAAATTTATATTTCATTTTCCAACACTTCCCATACGAAACAAGTTTCTGGATAAAAAAATTCTTATCAAGCAAAGGTAGAAAAAAGGATGACCTTGTTCAATGTGAAATAATCATTAAGACCCAAATTATCCTTCATAATTTTGATTCTTAAATAATATACATGCATTTCAAGTGAACCCAAAAATCCAGTACTTACTCCCCTGCCTAAGAATTTGCTGTTCCTAAATCCCTTGAGAAAGAATGCGATACAGAAGGTCCCAAACATGAGTATGAAGGACATCAAGGCAGTGTTGGGCTGGTTGGCTGGCTCTTGCCCAGGTAGAGGAACTATCATCTCTTTTCCTCCACTGACCTCCACATAACTGGTATTTATTTCTCCATTATTTTGCAGAAGAAATGGGATTGTTCCCTCAGCGGCAGTGCCATTGGCATTGTGTAAAAGATGTGCTGAGACATTTTTGTCTGGAAGATCATAGTGATCTGGGTACTTGGGCAGAAATGGATGACGCATGAATACCTGGAATTCAAAGAAATTCATCATATGTGATCAACAGTCAATTACATAAAATGTAAACAATTTGGCCAGAAATATATGCCCTTGTTTTTTAAATGTATTTTTTTTCTTTCATAGAAATTATTAACAAATACTAAAATCTTGCTGCATTTTCTTTTACAAAAAATGAAGCGAAAACCACTGGTTAAAAGCTATTAAGGGTAACATGGTATCAAGATCTCAGTGTGAATGATACATTTTAAAATAGAGCAACAAACAAATACTTCACAATATTTAAGTGCTGGTGCTGGAGCAAACATTAGCAAGCAGTTCAAGAGGGGGAAATTAGCTGAACAACCTTATCATATATATTATAAATATATAAAAAGACTGTTCAGGTTTATTAATGTACTATAATTTTTCGTTTTCAAGAGAGAGAAAATAAGTCTGGGGTATTATCCCAAGCCACAGCACACTTACTGAAACCAGCTTGTTGAAAACTTCATAGATGAAAATGAGGGAAATGAGTGATGCAAAGATTTCTTGGGTGAATCGTGTAACATAGCGAATCAAAAAGCTGCCATCAAGGGCCACCAGAATGATGGCTATCACAGCAAACCACATGCCAATCCAAACACGCATGGTCAGGTATTCCATACCATTGGCTTGGCAAAACTGAAAGACAACAGAAGTCACATGCCTCACAACAGCTTTCATAGTCTTGGCAAGTTTTTCAACCACTTTTTGTTGATAATGGTCCTGTCATACCATGCCACCCACCCACCCACACATATCTACTAATTTTTCAATGACTTGTAGGTTCTACTGCCCAAAATTCTGCAATTGGGTCAACAAAATTTATAACTTCCTTAAAGGTGATTTGAGAATCCTTTTTCAGCCACAGTGGCTGCAAACAACATAGCCTTAAGGGCCCATGATATAATTAAGCAAGAGTTTCTGGTTCCCACACCCATATATCAGAACGAGGTGTACAACTCTGAAGTGCAAGCTAAACAGAATAGTCTTCTGGAAAAAATCTCACTTCCAGGGCAAGGGTGAGGCCAGGAAGGTCCATAATACATTGGTTATAGTGCCAAGCTGATTTACAAAGCAAATACTTCAGATTGGGAAGTAGTGGTTCAAATAAACAATTCCATCATTTTCAGTTTTGGTAAAGGAAGAGATGGAAGTTGGTATCAGGTTTGATGCTGGGTGCTGATGCCACTCAAAACCTGCATTTGCGATTGATTTTTTTAAAAGTTAAACAAAAATACACCACATTTATTTTGATTGAACTAAGTCTATATAATATATTAATGTGGATTAATGTCTTCATACTATTTTCTAAAGATTAAATCATCTACCAAAGCTTTTACAGAAGAAAGTATTTTTAATTACAATCTAGAATCACTAATGAATCTCCTTGCAAGAAAGCCATTAATTAGATTCACACCAACTCTTCTTAATTTAGAAGAAAGAATGTTGTTGCGGTAAGAGTTAGTAATATTAGGGCTTACACTGAAGAAACTCTCCTCAAATACAGCAATAGGACCTGTAGCACCTATAATAAGTATGGGTTGCCCAGCAAACAGACAGAAGAGGGCACCACACATGGCTGAGCCTATCATGGTCTCACTGACACCTATGTACTGCTGTGTCTTCTCTCCTGAAAGAAGGCATGAGAATGAATGAATTATGGCATGAATGAAAGATTACAAACCAATCTGGTGACAGAATTTTCAAATACCTTATTCAATGAGGTCTTTCAAATGCTAAACTTTCATCTTTTAAAAATCACTTTTATCCTGATGAAGGCCCAAGTGGTGCAAAGCATTCCCTAGAAATATTTTTTTCATACTGTATAACATTTTTCTACTGAACTTAAAAATACATTTAAAGAAAAGACAAGCTGTATTTACTTGCATGCACTCGTACCTAACAAACCTCCAAATGTAATGGCAGGAGAAAGAGCAGCGAAGTAGATGAAAAAGAAGGCTGCCAGGCACAGTGTGTTCAGGGCATCTTTCAAGTCAGACAAATAGAGAGGATAACGTTGCTTTATCTCAGAAATCATCCCTCCAAAACACCGCTTGGTCCTACGCAGGGGATCCATAGGAGGCTTCTGCTTCTCAATCTGTTCTTTATCTAAAAGTTATCAATTTAAAGGCAAAGATACAGGAATGGTGACGGTGGTGGTAGGTGCATGAATAGTTCAATTCAGGTAGCTTTATACTGGTGGTGATATTATTACAAAGATCAACTTTCAATATTTCAATCACTTTTATACTTATTTCACCTTTTTTGCATACAAATTATAATGGTAATTTGTTATGCCAACTGTGTACCTTCTCTTTCTTTCCTCTCCCTTTCTTTTTGTTTCCGCCTGCGTCGGTTCCTCTTTCTGGCCATATTCATGATTGGCAGCAGTGTTTCTCTCTCCCAGTCCCCAGGGGGCAGCACAATAGATTCATCCAGAAACTCATTGATGGCACTGAGCAACTCCCTCTTGTCATCAGCTCTATAGGCCACTTCATGGAATCTCTGTAAATGACAAAATATAAAGATCAATATCAACTTTGAAGTCTCACACCAAAACACGTTACAACTGTTGATCACTACTGAATTATCAGATATTTTCTAGACAATTATAGCCAATACACATTTTTCCATCATACAATCAAGTTAACTTTTATTTTAACACAACTAAGCATACAAACCACTCACACTTAATTACTCAACTCACCACATTTGACATCAGTGTAGACATGGATCGTCCAATTTCATAGTAATCTGCACTGGTATCAGGGGTAATGTGTGGACCCAGCAAAATGAACAAGAACCTCACTGGCAATGGCACCTCAGTCAGACCACTCAGCATCTGCCCCTCGGCCAGCCGGACAAACGCTATGGCTGGTGAATCGAGGAAATCTACTTCTCCAACCAGGACAACTGTGGCCTCAGCATCCTTGGGTATCTTCTTCATGATGTCAAGTTCTGTTTTCATGTGTTCCTTAACCTGGCTGCTGTTGCTTCTTTGGGATGCAACATCGTCCTGTTTATATATATAAAAAATAAAATAAATAAATAAAAATATATACATAAATAATTTTTTTCATTACTTTAAATCACATTCCGGTGAAAATCGACTGAAAATGTTTTGAAGCTTACAAATACATACTCAAAATACAGTTTGAGGAAATGAAATAGCTTTTGGGTATATTCTTTCACACTAATCATGCAAACAAAATAAAATGTGCTCGGCACATACAGAGGTGTACAGTAGTTTAAATTTGTTTATCAGTACGAGTGCTGTGATTTCAATGTACACACAATGTGCAACAAATGGTTCAGTCATGTTACATGTTTAATTCTAGATCTTCTAACAAGTCCCTTTCCAAATCAGCAAATCATCAAAAACCATCTACAACCATAAGAAACAACAGCCATGATAGATGATTCAAAATAAAGCTTCATGCCATGGCAAAATAAACCAAGCAAAAAGAAAAAAATCTATTAACAGAAAAATTCATACATTCTCTGTACAGAGACAAATATGAAATTTTTTAATCAATTGCATGACATTATGTGTAACACAGTGTAAGATAATGCCTACCACATAAAATTATTTCAACAGTTACATATTCAAAAGCGAAAAACTAAATATCTTTTTAACAAGATACCCAATTGATACCCAAATTTTTACCTAATAGATAAATAATAATAAAAAAAACAACTCATGCAAAATTGGTAATGAACCAAAGCACAAAAAATGTAAATACATGCAAATTTGCTTCAGCCTGGTGAATACAGTTATCATAAAAAAGAAAACAATTACGCATATGCAACCTGACATACCACATAGCAACAGAGTAACGAATTTATGGCAAATATAGCTTCAAATTAATATACATGTAATACTGATAAAAAACAGACAATGCAACAAGAGGCAGTGAACCACGTACCATGTTAATGAACCCTACCTCCTCCTCAATAGGGAGCTGTGTCATCTGATTGACAAAAATGATAATTTGAAAAAAATATTTATCTAAAATGACCTATGCAGCAATATTTCAAAGGCCCTGTAAAAATATCACTTGTGTATATATATAGATTTTATGTAATATAACTGACAGTTAAAGAGTTGTGGGTGTTAAGAGAAAGAACTGTAGATAGTTTTAATTCTACATATAATTTGGCAGTTTTATTTTCCTCATACCACTCTGAAGAAAGTCCAGAAGGTGAAATGAATTTCTCATGAATGACAAAGCATGTTACTTGAATCAGTTGAGAAAATTAATATCAAATGAGATTTTAGAGATCAACTTGGTAAAATAAGATGTGCATGTTTTCCCTGTCTTGATTACTTGCCATTTCTGAACTGCAAGTTATATTCATCCCGTGAACCCGGAGTGACTTAAAGTGTGGGGACAGTTGATAATTCTTTATTGTGAGCAAGAGAGGTTCAAAATGAGGACTCTATTTTTGTGGTATTTTTCTTTTTAATTTACCATTTGCCCAAAGGCCAATTTTGCTTAAGATCATATCCTCCATACATAGTAACACATTTTGATATGCTTTATTTCTACACATTTTGGTAAGACCTGCTTTAAATAAATAAATAAATAAATAAATAAATAAATAAATAAATAGTTCCTCAACCATGAATACTATTTCAATTCAGCCTTTGATATTTAGGAAAGATTTCTAACCACAGCATAACATCTTCACATAATGGTGTATACAAACCTTATTTTTTGAGTCACCTTCTACATCCACTTTGACCTCCCCATCACAAGCTGTGTTATTTTCACCACTGTGGTGAGAGCCCATGCTTGCAAGTGAAAAGTTCTTTAGCAGGGAGGGTTTACTTCTGCAAAAGAAAAGAAAGAAAAATTTCCAACTTACTGAAATTGCGCTAGTACATTCTAATAAATCAAACTATTTCCGGTAAAATTCTACCTTCCAAATATTAAGGTAGACTTACATATGAAGAGTTTCAGTTCAAGGACAATTATTATTCATACAAAACTAACATGCTTTTTAACATTATCTCTTAAATATGAATTAAAAAAATCTGAGGTGAAATTAACACTAAACGCATTCAAAAAAGCTACAACGTAAAGTATAACATTCATGATCTATAGCAGGCTTTTTTCCCCTATACAATAAGTTATAATGTAGAATGTACCTTATCAAAAGAGGTACCAACAACCATTTCCCAAATACCAATCGAGCCCCATTTTCAGACATGTAGAACACAGTTTATCAACACGCACACAGATATATACAGGCATAACCACATGCACACGCACACATAACCACACGTTCACTGACAAGTTTACACATCCACACACAGAGAAAGAGAGACAGAGGGAGGGAGACAAGAAAAAGGTGCAAAATGATTGAAGTCGCGTCCCAAATAGAGCTGGAAACTGACCACGTACCCTCTTGAACTGTCCAAGCCTATCAAATTTTGGTAGGAAAAATTCCTGCGAATTAAAGCTTTTGTTTCGTTCACATGCCTGGAATCAAACAAGTCGACGTGAAGCAAGCACATCAAGAGCACAATAAAGATTCAACATTGCACACAGCAAACATGATATATAAAAGAATCAAATTTTGTTGAAACTTTTTTTTTGAAAAAATGTGTTTAGTGACACATCAAAGTGAAACATTTCAAATATGGTGCTTACCAATTGTAAGTCAAAACATGACCACGTGACAATCACTTTATTTCATCACCATAATAATACTCATATATACAAATGTAAAGATGACAACCACCTCTATGTGCAAGAACTAAAGCAATTATTGTGCTCACATGGTGCACCCTTAGAATAAATGTGTAAGACAATTTGTCATTTATTCTATCCTTAGAAGCACACACAGTTGTGCCGGTATCGGTAAAAAGCATGAATTTTCACTAGAGCTACTAACTAAAAATGCTTTAAATTAAAGGTTTAAAGGTAACTAAAATCAAATGAGTGCCAAATAAAACATTAGCATAAAAACATAAACAATTTCTATATGTTGTACATTTATATTATCATCATGCACAAAGAAGTCTAAAGTGCAATTAGTGGACGAAATGTTTCGGGGGAAGAATGGTCATAATTAGGCATAAATAACCATTCTGCCACTACATACATATATGTACTTGTGCTGTTAACGAGTATATACATACTTGTGCTTGTGCATCAGTGTTCTGAGGACATTGCCCCTGTCCTCCTCTTTGATCTGGTCTCCTATGATCATGATGTCCACTACTTTGTTTGCTATATCTGCCAGGGTAACTGCCTCCAAGTCCAGAATTATGGAGCCTGAATCACAAAGGTAACCACACTTTACATTTAAATGTTAAGCATGAACTCTTACACATCTGATCAAACAAATACCTAAAATCTCTTAAATATCTAAACCCAAAAGTCAGACGATTTAGTCTACATTAGTGCATTTAAAGCAAATATCAGTACTGACAAAACAACTTATGCACAAAAACTTGTCTATTTGCTCTTTCAAGCTCTTGACTTGTGTGCTACTTCCTCAGGATATAAAATTGTACTAACTTGCCATATTTTTTTAAAATCCCATGTTATTTTGGGTGACTAAAAATTTGCGAGCAATTCTTACCAGATTCCAGTCCTTTCCTTAGCTCCAGCAAACTGTGAAAAGACAGAGATGCCACGTGAGGTTTCCCCCATCTTTCTGCTCCTTCCTCTACATCTTCCTCAAACTTAATCCACCTGGCTTTCTCTCTCCATTCAATCTCATTCTTACCACCAAGGTGAAGCTCATCCAACTCAACAAATATCTTATGAAAAAAAGGAAATGATTAAATTGATCAAATGGTAAAATGTCATCAGCTGAATTTCAATTATGGGTGGCCATTTTTTCAGATATTTTTCATCAATTTTATCATTGCAGGGTACAGAATTAGTCCCTTTCTTAACTTATTAAATCAGGAACTGAATGTAAAGGGCTTTGATTTGATTTAATCTGCCAGCATAAATTGTGTACCACTCAACAAATAAACCTAAACACATTAGTTATATTCTTAAGGAAGATTTCAAAGAAATTGTAAAATTAAATTTAAATATTTAACCACATTTTGTAAACAGTGCCTCTTACCTCGTGTGGACTGTGATCGTATTTCTTGGAGATCTTGTTCTTTCCAATCTCTACAATGGAGGCCAGAGCCACTCTTGGTGTGATCTTGTGGCGCCGTATTCCACGGACATTTTCAAACCTGTGACCTGGAAATTGTTTAAGGGCAACACTTGTACGTGTGTAATCAACAATGACATCACTTGGATGTGTATAATCAACAATGGCATCACTTGGATGTGTATTATCCTCAAGGGTACCACTTGGGTGTGTATAATCAACAATGACATCACTTGGATGTGTATAATCAACAGTGGCATCACTTGGATGTGTATAGTTGACAATGGTACCACTTGGAGGTGTATAATCAACAATAGCAACACTTGCATGTGCATAATTAGTGAAAAACTAAATTCTTCTTTATTACATCCAGAATTAAAGTCGATGTCATTTCAAGAGAAGAATGCAGCAGCCCATTAAGAAAACAGGTGCAATTTTCCCTATTACTGAAATATCAATTTTTATCAGGTCTAAGTAGACTATAACTTGAATCTTTCAGTTTAGACCAACTTCTGGTCTCAGGGTTCTTTTGTGGCACAGTTCTCATGCCTGCAACCAGACTGGCAATACCATCAAAAGTGTATCTTGAATGTGGCACTTACTAGACATATCATCCAGATCAGCATCCTGCAGATAAAGTGCCTCTTCTGGTTCAGTGGGAACTCTCTTCAGCATGGTGTCCATTTGGACCTCGCTGCCTTTCTGACGCCTCAGTTTCAAGTCCTCCTCTCCATGATGGTGATGTCTGCGGTGACGCTTATGGCCTTTGGAAGAGGTTGGCTTGCTGACTTCAGAGTGACTTGGAGGTGGTTGACTTTGAAATGAAACAGTATCATGAAACAAATGATAATGGATAAGTCATGTTTCAGATATTGGTTTGTCTGAAAATTATGTTCACTGTTTCAATGAAAATATTCAAGTCAAGAAGTTTTCACTTGTAATAAAGCAGTTTTTGGATTAAAGGACTGTCCATTTTCATAACATCTGGCAAGGTTTGTAAAACACCTCCAGTCTATAAATGGAAACAGAATGTTGACAAAATTGACAAAATAGGACACCATTCTTCTTCCCGAATTTTCACAGACCCAGTCTCCTCTCTAAAATTTTTTTTCATCAAAAATTCATTTTTTCAAATCTGCCCGTTGCCATTAAAAGAATTCTAGCATGAACTGGTTAAAACTCACTTTTTCATATCTTATAAAATAAATGTTAACTTCTTTAAATAAAAAGGAAAAAGGACAACTTCTAATCTATACTATTTTTCTCAGAAAGAAGGGTACAGAAACCAAAACAAATCAATAATTTTTTATATGAGTTCATGAAACCTCACCTATGTTTTTCTGCTTTATCTAAATCTTCATCACTATGGCCACCTAGAAAACAAAATTTGATGTCAGGCTGTTTTCAACAAGGTTTCCAACGACAAATAGTGGTTCAATACATTTAGCTTATTCTGTTAGATCTCACCGTTAAGATTGTACATAGATTTTCATTAGCCCATGCTGATGCTGAAGTTGCAAAATAAACCACATGATAAAAGAAACTATATATATTTAACATATCTAAAAAGTAAGATACCATCAGGAAAGATCAGTTAATGAAAATTAGATAACCCAAAATCTTTAATGCATTAAAACATTCAAAATGTCACACACAGAAAAACAAATATAAATAAATAAATAAATAAATAAATAAATAAATGATTTTACATGTATAAAAAACTTACCAATATTAAAAGTAACAGCTGGAGGTCCTGATTTGGTCTTTTCCGCACTGGGCACTGAGATCATGGGTCTGGCGGCATGCTGGGACACTTGGGGCTCATCAGCCACGTCTTCAAACATGGTCGAACGTTCAGGTACATCAGATGTTGCCAGACTAAACTGTTGGGCAGCCACAGAGTCTTTCGATTGTTTGGAAACCTTGGAATCTGATCTGGGTAACAAAGGCTGACGTGATGTATCAACAGTATCCTCTTGTTCTTCTTCACCGATGTAAAAGGCAGCCTGCAAAGAATAAGTTACAATCTTAGCTCCAGTTTAATTTTTTTCATAGATCCATACTGAGACTGGCTTGGAAGCTAAACTGACAAGCTTTGATAATCCCATACACCTGGGAGTAAATCCTTGTCTAATGGCTGACGTTTCTCACTGAGATGTTTTTGAAATCAATAATATCAGAATGAAAAAAATTTAAATGCTTCAGAAGTCTAATCAGAAGTACTGAAGATGTGGAAAGCTTTGCACTAAAATCTGGACTATGGCACAAAAATGAAACAAAAACTGTTTATTTTTACTGACACATTTCTTTCATTTCTTTTCTCATATAGTGTTAAAAAGGCGAGTGCAAACAACACTATAACAAAACTGACTGAACTGTTAATTTACTACTTTAGAACATAAAAGATCTTTTATTATCAAGGAATTATCTTCTTTAAAACTGACAAAACAGTATTTATATTTTATATGAAGCTATATATATGAATATATAACTGAATAGAAAGTTTATAATATGCACTTCAAACTACAGTAAGCTGGGTCTAAAACATGTTTAAAAGTTTATTTAGCAGGGTAAAAACTAGGATAAAAACCTTATAGAAGCATACAAAACACTAGTTTGGTAAAACAAAACAAAAATAGAGTGAATCAGCTATTATTTGAGTGTCATATGATAATGGTGTGAAAACAAGGTCAGTGATGTTTGTCTTACATACATGCAAAATAAGGTCTGCCATAGAAATATGAATTTTATTACATTTTTTGTACAAAATAAAGATATTTTGAACAGTACTGAAGCAAAGAGGAACAAGAAGTGTTGTGGACCATTTTTTTTTCATTTTTCCCAAAGTATTTGTATAATTTATAAATACATACAAAACAAACTCCACTTAAAACCTCAAAAGTCAGAAACCAGCCTTAACTGCTAAATATTTTTTTTCTCCCCCCCTGTCTTGCTGAAGGCACACTGGCAATATTTCAATATATTCAATATATTCAAAATTACCTTTTACTTTTAGCCTTTCAAATCTTTCAACTTTTTGCCTGAAGCTTTACCTTGTCAGACTAAAATGTATATATTTACTTGAATGAATTAATTAACTTCAATACAGGCCTCAACAGTTACTGCAGCCTCTCTATAGCAACATTCTAAATACATATCATGGGCACTAGGCTGATATTTAATACTATATTTAAAACAAAGCAGGCTATTTCTGATCTATCTATATAAAATGTGCAACATGTCATGCTAAAAGTGGGTAATAATATGTATCATTGCTACTTGTTGGACAGTCCTTTCTTCCTCTGAAACTGTCATCTTTAAAAATATGTATATTTTTAGTCTTTATATAATTACAGGATTCATATTCTATAGATGCATCCATCTTGGTTGCATCGAAATGATTTATGTGGTGTCTCTAAGAAGCTCCATAATAAAAAAAACATCTTGATCCATAATAAAAAAAAACATCTTGATAACAGTCGGGCCAAATTCAGTGGAGGTAGAATTAAGATTCAGGAACAGTCTGAAATGCACCCCTGGGGCTAATTCTGACACATTTCAAGCCCCTCATCACCCCTCTCTCCTATCTAACTTTGAAAACCAACAGCAGCATAAAAAAGATACAAGTTTGCAGCTAACAACCAATTCGCTACGAAAAACAGGTTTGTCAGTTACAACATAAACACATAACATAAATAATGTTTACAAGAAATGAGTGTTAACATAACATGCTCTAATGTAAAAAAGTGTAGTTATACAAAAGAGTGCCAATGCTGAAGAATAGTACACTACAGAAAATGATAGTTTCTAGTCAGAAAAGAAAAAGTAAATAAATGGACTGCTAGGAAGAGTTACCTTTTTTGCTTCCTTAAGGTGGTGTTAAGTGTCAAAATAAAAATAAAACGTATCAGATACAAAGCAATGTTTTGTCCCATTTATTGTTATAATAATGCAAGTTTTTAAAGAAGAAGCATAGCATTGAAAATGTATATTTTAAGAAATGATTGGCAAATATAAAACTACATTAATTTTCCCTCAATTTTATATTTTTTAATCTAAAAAAGCAATTAACTATGGATTAAGTGTCCTACCTGCACCAAGAACAATAGCTGACAGAAGACTGTAGATAGATAATTCTATAATGTGATTAAATGAGCAAGTTATTCTAATTACCCTTATAGTGTATGTACCATCCAGTTTTGAGTTGCAAAATAATAATAATAATATAATAATAATAATTATAATAAAAGCAACTCCCAGAATGAAATAATGAAATATGAATAACAAAATGGTTTACCGGCAGCAGATCTTTCTTTTTTGCTACGTTGTCACTTGTACTGGCACCATCTACTGTGTCATGTTTTATTTTTTTCTCTTCATCTTCGTTATCCTCATCTTTATCTTTCACATCAGCTAAATCGTCGCTATCCTCTTCAAAAACATGGTCACGTTTAGTTTCTTCCTCATAATCAGCTTCCTGAGAAAACAAAAAAGAAAATGATAAAACAGAGAGTGAATGAAAAAATTAATATATATCATCACAGGGCATAAATCCATGCAATGCATATTTGTTTCCAATTTGCATCATTTAGCATACACTTTAACATCAAATGGTCATTATTTTTAATTATCCATCCCTTAAATTCAAAGCAGAAACACCTGCACCTATTTTCAGACACATTTATTCACAATCATAAAAACAATTAAAAACCCTAATTGAAAGAGCTTTCAAGGACATAAAGGGTGGCTTTCCTGTGGAGTTAATAATAACTTAAAGATGATCTAAATAAGTAAAAGTTCATTCAGTGGCAATTGTAAATGATAAAGAATTACATTTGCTGCAAGCAGAACTCTTTTGATAAAAAGAAAAATACTTTCACACAATCCCCAAAAATTAATTTACCATATCCCATTTTCATATTACAGTCCTTCCAGACAGCTCAATCCTGATTTTCTTTTTTTTTTTTAATCATCCATCAAGTTCCTTGGAATTTTATCAGAGACCAACAGATTTCTGATGAATAATATATAAAAAACAAGTTTCCAGGAAATCTGTTGTGGTAGTCAAGGAAACATACCATGTCATCACAATGAAAATGAAAGAAAGGCTACCTGTTACACAACAATTAAATTTTACAACTTTCATTGTTATGGTCATGAGCTTAGAATATGTGCAACAATAGGTCCATTGTTGCAACAGAGATAACATTAAAGATGCCCAGTTTCCATTGTGTTGATAGTTTTTACCCTTATGTGTTCTAAAATGTGCACATGTACTTGTTTTTTTTTTTAATGGAAAAAAGAACGATCCTTAAATGCCATTTATTTGGCACTGGTAATAGGATGACAAAATTTTGCCTCTGGCTACAAATTTTTTTAACCGTGTCTTGATAAAATACAATGGAGTTGACTATAAAAATTAGTTCAGTTGAATGTTTTTTAAAACATACCTTAAAGACTTAATCAAGTTTTCCTGTTCAATCAAACAACAAACCTCCAAATTTATATCACTTACATTATTCAACTCCTCCACTCCCTTCAGACTGGGTGTAAATGTCAGGGACTTCCTGCCAGAGAAACTGCGACTACGTCCAGATGGATTTTTCTTCTTTCTCACTTTCTTCTTCGGCAATCGAAGAGAGTGAGCAGACTTGCTGCTGTACAGTCCTTTCAATGTCTGATGTATGTGTGGAAATGAAGAACTGCGGTGACCTAGGAACATACAATTCAGTTCATTAAGATAACTAATCACTTGCCACTGGAACAAAGCCGATTTGCACATATATGTTCTTCAACATTGATTGGGTGCAAACGTATTGCAAGGTGTCTGTAGGAAACAATATACAGTGTACGTGTAGCACTAACGGACAAGATGGCCGAGAGTAATTATCTGGATGTGATACATATTGATTGTATGAGTACTGTGATTCAATATCCATATTCAAGTCAATATATTCATTACAATTGCAACAGAATACAGGTTAATATGCTTAACTACATTTTTCATTAAGAACATTTTTTTCTGCATTTTCTTGCACTGTCCATCTGAAATTAAAAATGGACATATTTCCATGATCAACATATTACCACTTTAGACCCCCCCCCCTCCATACTGGCATTGGCGGCTTGACACCAGCTTTGAGTTAAGAATCTTTTTAGCGAAGATTAATAAGAGTTGTTGCAGAAAATAATTTCAATGCTAGGCACATGGATCTTGGAAAATAGTGCTCAAGGCAGTCATACTTTCAAAAATCACTTTCTTATTTGCACATGATCAGAGTATGTCTGATCAAACACCTAACCTCAATTTTGAAGCATATGAGATTACTTCAACAGCAATAAATTAAATATTGGGATAGACAGCCAATTCAAACCATATTATTTAATCATATAAAATCAATAACATGACTTTTGCAGCAATGTCTTAAATAAATCTTACTATTGTAGTCATTCTCATCAAAGTTCTGACTCTTCTCTCTGTAGTCATTGAATGGCTTTTGTTTCACCGGCTCCGAGTCGTTATAGTCTAAAACAAAAGGGAAACTCCTCTTGGGCTCAAACAGTTTCTCCATTGTGGCATCCAAGACATCTGATCTTGATGAACTGCCTACCAGATCCCCCACAGCATGCAGCTAAATGATAATAAAAATTATAAAACACATTATACTTTCATATTCACAACAAAAATAAAACTCTTTTACATGCCCTATGGCATTTAAAGAGAGACTGTGAAATTACTTGCATTAATTTTTTAGTTTTAGGTGAATAAATACAATAGTGTGGCAGTGAGCAGTGACAATAATTTTCAGGAAAATGAAAACTACATCATTGTTTTGTTTTTCAATTAATGGAACCAACTTAACTAAACAGTTAATATTTCATAAATACTGAGAAAACATTGAATAAGTAACAGTAACATTTTACAATGTGTCAAAAATACTCAATATAAATAAAAAAACAAAGTGTCTGAGTAGGTAATTATTAAAAGGCATTTATGGACTTTCAAGAAAAATAAATTCCCCCAATTACTAGGAAAGTGAATCATATTAATTTATATAACATATAATTAGAAACACTTTTTGAGTTGGGATCCAAAATGATCCCAAAAATCCATATCTTCCGATTACTCTGAAAACAGCCTCATACTTGGTCTGTCACTTAAAAATGTTACCCATCTCAGACCTGAGTAAAGCTGGTAAATCAATGAACTGTTTTTAGAAAGAGGTTCATAGGTAGAAGAATGCACAGAATTTTTAGCTCTTCGCTGCAGCTTGGGCCACTGACATCTTCCAGGAAAAGGGTGCTATCTAAATCTAAAATTCTGAAGAGTGCAATGCAAAGAAATACTGGATTTTTCAAAAATTTATTTTACAGCCCCCTATGAATAATAATAATAATAATAATAATAATAATAATAATAATAGTAATAATAATAATAATAATAATGTTTTACCTAATTCCCTATATTTTACAAAAATCAAAAATAGGTCCCTTAAGAACATCTCTTTTTAGATATCTTATTTTAAAATGCAGGACTTCATACCTGCCAGACAAGACCTCACGTCATCTGCTTTTTATCACAAGCATTTGCGGCTTTTATTTTGACTTTTGTGAAGTATTCATGCACTAAAAGAGGTTCCTTTCAAAATCAAAATTGTAATTCACCTTGAAATGGTGATGTTTGCATATAAACATAAATTTGTAACTGATGTATGAACACTATTTTAGGCAGAACATATGAAAACAGAAAGGCATAACACCAGTCCAAAATACAGCGTAACATTCTGTTTGGCTAATTTTAACCTTCACATTCTCTTATGCAAGGTCACAAATGGAAGCATTTGACGTAAGTACTTTGGAATTATGTATACTGTACACAGAAACTCCCCAAAATATTCCCTTGATTGCTATTTGTCAGAAAGTAAATATACTGTGATGCACAGATAGAAAAAGAGATTGGAAAATTAAATATGTGGAAAAAAGGTACTTCTCATTTACTAGTCCCGTTCACTAGTTGTTTTCATCAATTCGCATATTTGGTATCATAATTCATTCAAATAAAGAATTAAAACCGTAATAAATGATTATTAGAGCACAGACAAACAAACAAACAAACAAACTGATAAACGGTATAACTATAAAAAAAAACATAACCTCCTTATTTGAGGTAATAAATAAATAAATAAATAAATATGAAACAATAATAAAACACATACAATATACTCTCACCTCAATGTCTGCCTCAATACTACTCTTGCTTGGTTCTGATTCTGCCATCCTTAATGTCTAGGGTCACCTGAAAAGACAGATAAAGAAACAAGATCAGTCTTCTATCACTTTGCCCCAATAGACAATTTTTATAGGGATCAGTCTTGGACAAACTATTACCATTAAAAAATATTTCATCAAACTACAACAGATATTCTTTCAGCAAAGTTGCCAACATGACAGTACTCAAAACAAGAGGTTAATAATGTCAGTTCTCTATTTGCCCAGGCTTGAATCTTCAAGGATATATACAAAAAAGTTCTAATTCAATATCACACCTCTACTGCCACCTCTAATCAGAATGGCACCAACCTAATAAGCGATGACGACAAAAAATAGGTGAGGCACTTACAGTGAACCTCTAACAGGGCAAAAGAGGCTATTATAAGATGTACCTTAACTGGTCAAAGACAAGGATATAAGGTGTGTCAATACTGGGTACAGCATTTGGTAATGACCATCTAGTGGCAGTTACTTAATGACCATGCAACTTGCAGGAAGACCCAACTGAAACCACATTGGATCTTTGTCAATCTGCTGTCACTTTATGTACAACAGTTTCATTATTCCCTTAAAAGAATGTGTTCACTGTAGAAGTTGTCTGCAGGTGTTATGTTTTTGTAAAGGATCTTGCTTTTATTCTCCAGGTAAATCTATGATTTCTTGACATTGGTTTTAAATTTCTAAAAAGGCAGCACAGGACCTACATGAACCATTGGTTCAATAACTAGAGGGTTCTGGAACAGTAAAAAAAATTGCACCCATGTTATAATATAGTGGGAATCCCTAACAACCTAACAATACTCCCTCAGTCTTGGGGGACTGTGCATGATCTCACCTGACTCGTATTGAACTCCCAAATCTTCTACATGCTTGCAGATTAAAGCAAAACTCAGAACATCACTGCCAGCTTCTAAAACAAGTACTCATTCATTTCTCTTCTACATAAATTTTATAGGCAATTTTAATGAGGACATATGAAACTTATATGACTTGTGCACAACAATTTTTGCCTTTAAACATGAAACTACACTTTACAACTTCATCGTTTATCTTCTATCTACAATGATTGCATGCATTATTGCTTGTCTTTATGACTTGTCCATATGCATATATTAAAGACCTACGTATCATTCATATTAATCTTATAGAATATTTACATGACCAACAAAGTCAGTTGTTAAATTATGCAGTTTATTTTATCACAATTTCATTGATCTCAATTGAACAATTTTATTGTAAGGATCACCGATTCCAAAAATAACAATTTCACATACCTTAATCCCTCACAAAATCATTACATGTGGCAACCCATATCATAAACTACATATTTCATACAGGCCAAGTCTGGTAACAAGCAAAGGAAACTTCAGACCCATGTACACTGACAGCCCTTTAGATCACATATTGCATAACATGGATTTGTTGAAAAAATTTGAACCTAGAATGGTGGTAACATCTTTCTTACATCTGTAGTACTCTAACAAGAAAGATGTCTAATTTTGGCATGAATGGTAAGTATACAATCAACACATGCCACAATACAAGTACTAGTACCAGGCCTACCCAACTACCAGACTCGGCACCGAATGATCCTAAATTCACTGGTAGATCGGACCATGTTACCCTTTTTCAAGGTGTGCGTCAGTACATGCTTCGAAATATCAGACGCGACACCACTCTTGCCTAGTACGCGATATGATAATGATGATTCTCAGCAGGACTAGAAAGTAATGCATCTCATCTCAAAATTTGTTTCGGGGTATGATACTGTGAAATGCATACTGACGCACACCTTGAAAATGGGTAGTGTGGTCCGATCTACTGGTGAATTCTTGATCATTCGGTGCCGTATCTGTTAGTTGGGTAGGCCCAAGTACACTGCAAGTACAATACCTGGTGTAACAAAATTTTAACCTAGGGTAGGATAGAGAGGGGCACATGTACCACCCATTTTCTTATTAAATATAATTGTTTTCATAATTTTCATGTTATCATATCACCCTGGCCTCTATTCATACAAGCAGACACTTGAAAAGATGCAAGTCCATCTCCCGACCCCCCCCCCCAACCCCCGCTCCGTCAATGTACAACATATCTTACAATGACCATATATTTGAACACAAAACTTATAAACTTTTGAAAAAAAATTGTAAAACAAAATAATAAAAATATAAAGACTATAATTATTGAACTTTTCCTTCGATCTTTGTACAGGGCACTCACCATTGGTGAGAGTCTTCCATCCACATGATAAACTCCAGAAAGTCTGTTCACTATCTGCCTGGGATGGTCTGGACTGGGATGATTTTGACTAAATGTCCAGGTCGAGTGGGGACAAGTTATGAGGGAGAGATAGTGAATTTTGTTTACACTTTTCAGTTGTAGGCTGTCCAAAACTTGTATGAATACATAACACCTAATGAGTCAAGGGACATATTGTGTTGAAGAAAGTAATGTTACGAGTGACTACTGAGGTGCAAAAAAGGTGTTGCTCTCATTAGAATTATGGTGCTAAACCAAAGCCTATGTATAAAAGCTATATATCTCTCTCAGATTTCTTATCAGGAATAAACAAAGTTGCAAATCAACACTTGTCTCCGCTTTGTTATCAAAATTCATGAGGTCATGCAAATAGTTATTTATGACAGCATGTTGTGATCACTTCATATGTATTTCTATAGAAATACATTTGAAATGATCCAGTCGTACTTACCTCTGAAGCTCATGAAAATTAATTTCATGGGGGCTACAAATTAAGACTGAGTATAAAAGTACAATGGTCTCCACATCTATTATGACATGTAAAGTTTGAACTGAATTTAGTTGTCTTTTATCTCAAACTACTCCAAGTCATTTCCTTGGGGTAAAAATTGATTATTATCAAAATCAGTCATGACAGGTACAGTTTCTTATGAAATTTAATGGTCTCAATATCTTAAAACATACTCAGGCCTATCCAACTACCAGACTCGGCACCGAATGATCCTGTTTTCACTGGTAGATCAGACCACACTACCCGTTTTCAAGGTGTATGTCAGATCGCATTACACAGTATCATACCCTGAACAAATTTTGAGTGGTGATGCAATGCTCTTCAACCCTGCTGAGAATCGTCACTATCACATGGCGTATTAGGCAGAGCGGTGTCGCGTCTGATATTGTGTAATGCGATCTGACACACACCTTGAAAACGGGTAGTGTGGTCTGATCTACCGGTGAATTCAGGATCATTTGGTGCCGAGTCTGGTAGTTGGGTAGGCCTGATACTATTTATCATGATTTACCAAACCTGGCAAAACAACAAATACACTTAACGGGGACATTAGAAAATTGTACTTCACTCACGGCTTTTCCCTGTGAACCATCCAGCCATCATTTGGATGGCCGCTGGCGTCACTGGACAGCCTATTATATTTTCAAAGACTGCTAGACCGCTTATGAATTTTTTTTTTTGAAAAAGACAGCTTGGACTCCCTGAAATTTTGTAGGAAATTACAAGTAGTTATTTTAGACAGCCTGCTCCCCCCATCATGGAAAAAGACTTGATTTCAGTCTTGATTTTTTTTTTGGCATTTTGAACTGCAACTGATTTTGTTCCCTTTTTTTTCTAGAAGGTAGCTAGAAAAACAAATATCAAAGTAATTTGAAATTATATTGCATGGTAAAAAAAATCAAAAATAAAGTTCAAGTGGAATGCGCCCAAGGCGATAAATCTCACAAATATCCACATGAAGCCATGCACACTTTGGAGTATGTACATCATATATAACAGACAGTTTACCTGAAATTAAAAGATGTATGGGGAAATCGAAACAGGAATAAACATAAAACAAGCTGAAAATTGGCCTTGCTCCCAGTTTATTTTGTTCATTTTACTTTTTTTTCACGCCAATGAAGTTAAAATGTTTAAAACTTGAATAACATTATGAATGTAAAGTTAATCCATGGGATCTATCTGCGAAAATGAATTTTCCTGGGGCAAAGGGCAATTTTCTGTTACTGGCGAGTCATTGCCGACCAATTCCTGCACTTGGCCTCAATGTCTTATTCCATTTTAAATTTCATAATTTGAAAGTGACTGGTCAGTCATTTAAAATGACACAGCCTTCCTGATCTTCACTTTTATGGCCTCGTTTTCACATAAGGAAATGGCCCGATGTTTTATATCGTGTCCCCATACCAAGCACATAAAACAGACATTGTAAGCCACTATGGAGGCTGAGAAGACAACGAAATTTATGCTTTAGATATAAACTTTTATTTAAAGGGTTTAACATCTTGAAGGTCTGAATTGGGAAATATAAGAAGCTTTGCATGATATAAATACAACTATGGGGGATTTTCAAACCTGTGAGGAGGCACTTTAATAAACACATGATTCATTATATTTCGTTTCTGTTATGCAATCAGTCAAAGATCACAGCAAGTTACTTACTTTTACTCAGTGGATGCAGCAAACAAAATCAATCATATCATTTGCCTGTATAAAACAGATTCTATAGATGGTCTGATTGGATGTGAAGAATCATTTTTTTCTAAAATGCTTATTTAATATATTGCCTATTTAGCAAGAGGGTCAAAACTGAGTCTAACTACTTAAGGATATAGGCGCAAAATGGACTCTCATACAACCAGTTTCCAGCTGAGACCTGGGCCCCGTAACTCGAAAGCATCCCATATTGCAATTAGCGATATCACATATAGAGGCTACAGTGTATTATATGAGGCGAGTATGGGCGAATTATGGAATCGAGACCCTTGCGCTCAGTCACAATGCACGATGCTTTCGAGTTACGGGCCCTAGGCAACTTCTTTCGTTTCATTTTTGAAATAAGTATAATGCTAATGAATGTAACTGCCAAGACTTCTCAAGTCTTTTAAAGTTTGAATAATTTAGCATATAACTGGGTTAAAAACATACCTGAACATCTGGAATTTATTTGCTATTTACCTTGGTGTAATTTCAAGTATTCCTGCAGTACTAGTTATGTACCTTGAAAGCAGATAAGATAGCTACATGTTTGAAGCCAAATCTTACTTACCATCCACATAATTCTGCTAAAAATTCACCACTTATGAAAAAAAAAATTTTTACCAGTGCACCTGACCCAGGCCAACTAAATTAAGGGAAACTTGGGAAATTCCATTCTGTCAATGTGTAATTACTGTAACCTTATATGTTCTACTATAATGTATACCAAGTAATATGACATTTACTTACTATGATGTCAGTGGTTTAAATATAACAACAATAGCACTAATCATAGGTTTTCCTTCTTTTCCTGAAACCAACAAAATAGACTTAACATGCAGGCATGAACCCATACTTGTCCATGTGATTTAGTTTTCATTCAAATAAAATAGCATTATTCCCCTAATAAATTATCTTAAAAAGGCGAAACATAACGCATTTAATATATAACAAAACATATGAATAAGAAAAAATTTTAACTGCATATTTAGGTCTTAAAATGTATTAATTTTCATTCTAGAACTGACTGAAATCTACAGGGGAAGAACTGGACAAGACCATGTCCAAAGATAGTGAGATGGACACACAACATGCATCAAATGTGTAAATAAAATATAACCTGGTCCATCTCCCTATCCAAAGTCAGAGGAAATGAAATACTTTTTATATGAAATACTCTTCCCATATCATTCTAAGTTTTTCTCTCTTTTTTTTTCGCTGATGTAATCAAATGTATCGAGATCAGCAAGTGGGTCATGTGACAAGCACGTTTTTAATGAATGCAACCCCTAAAGATAATACGAATATTTATAGTAAACAGAGTCTTCGCCATGCATCATCTTTGTCCATCAACTATCCAGTAAAATGCCTTGACCAGTATTCCATTCAAACAGCACTTCCTGAGAAGAATAAAATTAATTTCACTACTTTAAATACACCTTTTATATTCAAGCTGCATGTTGCCTCTGAACCAAAATTCCAAAGGTAAGTGCCACAGGCACATCTGAGTTTACATAAACAATTAACCCATTTTGCTGGAAGAAATGATGCTCAGCACTAGGAACATATTTCTCTCTTTAAAGGTTACACTACTAGTAGTATCAACTTGGTACCCTCTCTATTTTTATTAGTCCAAATTTCCTCAGGCTGAAATCATGGCATACTATCTACTGTAATTAATAACGCATAAAAATTATTTTTAAACAAATGCCAGCATATACTGAAGAGCACTTATATTACCACAAGCTTTTAGATCTAGAAAATGACTCACCAAGTTATGTCAAAATAATATTATAAGCACTATCATTTTCATTTTGATAGCAACGGCTGAGTGTTTTCTTATGCAATTAGGACAAGTGTTTTTGTACTTGGAAACATTCACTTTGTCATGAGCACAAATGTTGAGAGAACTGCTCGTCTTGGAAAGCATTATACACATTAAACACCACTTAGTTAAATGCACTTCCACCTTTAACATTCAAAATATATGCAAGTTCACTAAACTCC